ATAATTATTTTCCCTGAAAATGGGGATTGAACCCAGAAGTGCTCTACCACTGAGGTACATCCCCAGACCTTTTTAGTTTTTATTTTGAGATAGGGCCTTGCTAAATTGCTAAGACTCGTCCCAAACTTGCAATCTTCGTGCCTCAGCTTCCCAAGTTGCTGGGCTTACAGGTGTGCACCACTGCATGCGGTTTGCCTCCTAAAGATTTTTACCTACAAGACTGAGATGGAGACTGTTTAGTCTCAAGTATACCTAACCTAGAGTGTTTAATCTGGATTCATAAGTAATTAGGGAAATGAGTTGAAAGAAAAAATCTTAGGTAAGAAAAGAAATCAAACCAAGTTTTTTTTTTTTTTATATTTATTTTTTAGTTCTCGGCAGACACAACATCTTTGTTTGTATGTGGTGCTGAGGATCGAACCCGGGCAGCACACATGCCAGGCGAGCGCACTACCGCTTGAGCCACATTCCCAGCCCCCAAGTTTTTTTTTTTTAATTTAAAACGTTTTAAAATTTATAAGACATTCACAGTGTTCAAATGCTAAAACAACATAAAAAGACATGCAATGAAATGTCTCACCCCTGCCCTGTGCCCTCTGAAGTCCTTTCATACCTTTGACAGTGTTTATTTTTTCAGCCATTTATTTATTTTTTATTTATAGTTTGTGTTCAATGCAATCAATTCCATAACATGAGTTATTATGAATCAAAGCATAAATACACAAACACAATAAAAAATCCAAATAGATGTATGGCATTCAGGTATGAAGCAAAGGGGCGTGTTCATTCACACACACAGTAGCTTTAGATCTGTTTGATCTGATTGTTCCTGAGTAGGTTTCTAAAGATGAGAAAAAATGAGTTGGGTTATCAAGATTACTGTGGCCCTATTAGATATCAGACCATGTAAGCATCAGTGTGTGACCTTGTGAATAAAAGATTTCAGGGAGTTATCTATTTTTAAAAAATGTTTCTGTGTATCAAGGCATTTGTAAAAGATTTATAGGATCAAGACCACTTTTAGGCTTAGGATCAAGTTCTAATTACCTAAAAATATTGACTGATAACAGAAAGTGTCCCAAATGTGGCTACTCTGATCCATAGTTTTAAAAAGAAGTATTTACAGAAAAAGTATAAAGGTTTTTGTGAATTTAATATGCAAGCTAGCTTCCAGTCTTCACTTCCCAAATGCTTGATTTATAAATTTGTCTTCTTCACATAGTTGCCTTTCTAATTTCCAGATTACCTTCAAAACTGACCATTTTAAATTGTTAAAAGTATTCAACAAATGCAGAAATAAAAAGCATTTTGAAATTAGTTGAGGCCAATGTAATTCTACTCTTTGGAATCAGTTTTGCTAAAGGAATCTGGCACTCTTGTTGAATGAAAACAGGACATGGGAGATGCCTACCATTTGACTTTGAGAGGATAAGTAAGATTGACTCAAGATCCCTGGATTTGGGGTGGATTCCGATCAATCATTGCCCTGGCACATGTCAGTTAGCATATGAAAGTTCAAACATATTGTCAAATCCAAAACTACAGAGGAAAGAGTTCATTTCCCAAGGGAACAGAAATAGCTTAACAATGTGAAACTTTATCTAGAATATATCAGCACTGAATTAATACTGCTGATAAAATACATTGAGGATTTACAGTAACACCTGGAAGTTCCTTCTAATGTACATATAAATTGCATCATGGAAGCTTCTTATATTACCTGTTTTATGGCCTTATAGATTTCATGAACCAAATGAAAACTGAAATCTCCATTCCACATTCCATCCTCTAGATAAAATCTATTCTGGTTTTCAAGATAGAGTTTGAAGTGTCCATATTTCTTATGCGTCATTCAAGGAGATCGTGTCTCAGTTTTAGATGTATTTATTTTTATCTTGTATGTGAAACTCCAGCAGATTTAATATTGGCATTCATCACCTGCAAAACCCTTCAAACCAATCAATTTGGAATTCCAAAAATTTGGAATTTTTCTGTATCAATAAAATCAGGTGTGGAATTGGTAGATTTCATGCAGACTTGCTTCTTCCTTGACACAATGGACTTCTAGTTGCCCTTTGGATTGGGTTTAGAAGGTGGGGAGCAGAGACGTTTCTTGGCCTGAGTCTCTAACAGTAGAGATGTAGAATAGAGAGCAGGATCACAAGAAGGCTGGCTGGCTGTTGACTGCAGGGCACTGCCACCTGCCTTGGGTGTAGGACTAGTTGGACTGGGGGCAGCAGAGGTACTCTGTGAGGAGTTATTTAAAAGTGTCACAACAGCTGTTTGGTTTGGATCAATCTGTGTGGGTAGGAGCAGTGCCAAGCAGCAGCCCCAGACCCCGCCTGGCCACTGTCGCTCTGCCTACGTCCGCTCTGTCGGTGGATTCTAGATTGGAGGAGACAGGACGGCTCTGGCAGCCAATAGGCAAGGTCTGTGTGTTTCTTTATATAAATGCAAGAAAATAACTGTACGAGTGCGGGTGCTTTGCCCTTTTCTCACCGCGGGTGCGTTGCTGTTCTTCACTCTTCCACTGGACAACATATCTTTACACTCGAGCACATACATGGTTTCCTCCTTTGTTCAAAACCACAGCTGCATCATGTTCCATTATTAACCTCCTCTTGGTTGCTTCTAGGACCTTATTATTATAAACAATGTCAATAGAGAAACCTGTGCATGTCACTTAGTGCACACGCAGGTGTATCTGTAGAATTCCCAGAAGTGGGCGCTGGAGGGTAAACGCGGTTGCAATTTTGGTTTAGGGAAATTGCCCTCTGTACAATTGATTCTCGTTGTATGCTGAACAGCAAATGGAAGTGTCTTTGTCCCCATAGTCTCACCATTGTAGAATGTGGTTAAACTTTTTAACTTTTTGAAAGTTTAATAGATGAAAACCTATTTTGTCAATTAAGTTGTGATTTGCATTTATCTCATAGGAGTAATATTGGACTTTTTTTTTTTTTAGTTGAACATGGACACAGTACCTTTGTTTTATTTATTTATTTATTTAATGTGGTGCTGAGGATTGAACCCAGTGCCTCACATGTGCAAGACAAGCGCTCTACCACTGAGCCACAACCTCAGCCCCTGGGCATCTTTTTTTGATATATATTTTCATATCCTTTGCCTATTTTTCTTTTGGCTTAATAGGTTTGTTTTTTTAAAATTATTTTTAGGGAGATGAGCTCTTTGGGAAATGTGTGACAAATTTTTTTCACTTTGTTGATGTTCTCTTTGTCTTTGGTTATGTTTATTTTGTTTCACCATAAAAACATTTTTGTGGTAAAATTTGTCAATCAAATTTATGGCTTCTGTACTGAATCATAATTAGGATTTTTTCCTACTTCTAGATTATAAAGGACTTGATCCATGTGTTTTCTTTTCTTTTCAAATATTTTAAAAATTGTAGATGGGCACAATACCTTTATTTTATTTATTTATTTATTTTAAAAATATTTATTCTTAAGTTTTAGGTGAACACAATATCTTCACTTTACATTTATGTGGTGCTGAGGATCGAACCCAGTGCCTGGTGCATGCTAGGCGAGCACTCTACCACTGAGCTACAACACCAGCCCCATATTTTATTTATTTTTATGTGGTGCTGAGAATAGAACCCAGTGCTTCACACATGCTAGGCCAGTGCTCTACCACTGAGCCACAACCCTAGCCCCAATCCATGTGTTTTCTTTTGTAATATTAAAATAATATTATTTAAATTTTTGGTCCATTTGGAGTGTATGCAGTGTATGGTGTAAATTATAAATTCAGTGTTCTCAGGGGCTGTCCAGTGGCCTGCGCCATCTTCCCATGGATGAACCAAATGAAAGTGAACATGAAAAATAGATTTGAAGTTAAAGGGACAAAAAGTGACATCTGTGGAAAGTTAGGGGTGTGAGAGGAGGCATAATTTATCCTTTTTCGAAATAGGTAGTGTGGCAATATGGTGTTTCTGAGCACTAGTTGGAACAGAAACCTCAGCCTTGTGGCTTAATATATGAAAGGACTCATCCTCTTTCTCCCTCTGCAGTCTCAACCTTCTCCCATGCTCTCTCTTTTCTCTCTCCCAAATGACCCTGAGCTAAGGTTCTAAGGCAGCAGCACCAGGTAGGGAGGTGTGCTTAGAAGAGGAGCAAGAAAGAGTGAACTGCAGTAACAGACCCTGCCCTAGTATTTCAAAGAGAGTCCCAATGTTGTTTGTATGGTGATGCCCATTATATAACAGGACTGCACAACAGTGCACCTAGAGCAAGCAGGAATCTTACTTTAAAGAGCCTTTAAGGGCTGGGGTTGTGGCTCAGTAGGTAGTGCACTTGTCTGGCATGTGGGATGCACTGGGTTTGATCCTCAGCACCACATAAAAGTAAATAAATAAAATCAAGGTATTGTGTTCAACTACAACTAAAAAAAAAAAAAAAAAGAAGAAGAACTTAGAGAGAGAGCACGCCTTTAAAAAACAATGTAAGGATAGGTCCTGCCGCCTGCCTGTAATCCCCAGTAGCTCAGGAGACTGAGGCAGGAGGGTCGTAAGTTCAAAGCCAGCCTCAGCAATTTAGTGAGGTCCTAAGCAACTTAATGAGATCTTGTCTCAAAAAATAAATAAAGAAAAAGAGTTGGGGATGTAGCTTACTGGTTAAGCACACCTGGATTCAATCCTGAGTACCAAAAAAAAAAGAAAAAGAAAAAGCAATGTAGGTCTTATTGACGTATCTTCAAGGGAACTAATTCCAACACAGAACAGAACCTGCTAAAATCTTGGGACATTTCACTTCCCAAGTGTCTCATCATCATGACAGCTAATCCCCTCAAATACCTGCGTGATTTCTCTCAAGCCGCAGCCTGCCTCTTCCCAGGCTCTTCTGCCTCCTGGCCCAGATCTGTTGTTGTCTTTTAGAGGCCCTCCTGCCTTTTCTCTGTGGGCCAGCTGTGTCCCATGAAGTACTCAAACACAGCCTTCTTAGGGGCAGGGAGGAGGGTTAAATGGTTTGCTCTGCACGTAGCAGGGCCCAGGTGCGAGCGCCCGGTCCCCTTCCGGGAACGACAGCTTTTGAATCCTGCTTTCGCCCAGCAGATGGCAGCCTTCTCCACAGGTGACGCGGAGCCCGGGGTGCTCAGCCTGCTGTGAGCTGCAGAAGTCAGTGTGCCCGACGGGGTTTGCGTGGTGCAGAATAAAATTCAAACACCGAAAAGGAATAAAACAGCCATAATGTCGTGGTGGTCTCCTGTAGGGCATGCTCTTAATCATCTTGCTCCAAATCCTTCAGCGACTTCTTTCTCTTGCCCCCAAAATAAACAGGGAACTCTTCCAGGTCTCCCGGTGATCTAACCACAAATCCTGCCGCCCTTTCCCTCCTGCCGCCCCTTCCCCGGCCTGTGCCTCTCACTTGGTTCCCTGTCGGGGCTGCTTCCACCCTCTGAAATGTTCTTCCTTTTGCATTGTTTCTTCTTCTCTCAGATCATCAAATACCTGCCACCTTTATTTCTTTCCATAGTTCAAGTGTTATTTGTTCCAAGAAGCCTTTCTCCATATAGTAAGGCATCTCTGCTTTCTACCTCACCAGGTGCATCACACGAATTAATTTCCTTCCTATCGCTTATCTCTGCCTGAATCTGTTTGCTTTCTTCTTGTCTCTCCTTCTTCCTAAAAGTTAAACTGTGTGAGGGCAGGACAGAGCCTCCGGCCAGGTACTGGGGATTTCAGAAGCTGGATGCTGTTGGAAAGAGCACTGACTAGGAGGAGGAAACTTGGAATTTACTTTTGGTTTTGTAAAGACAGGTGTGCCTTAGCAATTTGGTGAGAACTTGTCTCAAAATAAAGAAGGGCTGGAGATGTTGCTCAGTGGTAGAGTATCTGAGTTCAGGCCCTAGTATATATAAAAAAAAAAAAAGACAACCCACTGAAGTAAGTACTATATGTGTCCTCATTTTACAGATGAAGAACCTGAGGCACAGAGGAGTTAAATGACTTGCCAAAGCTCATACAAACAGAAACAGAGCAGAGATGGAACCCAGGCAGACAGACCCCATAAAAATAACCTTGCCTTCTTCACTAGCACACTGTTCTCCCCCTCATTGCACAGGGAAGCCTGTTCTAGGTGATAGAGAAGTAAAGGCAATGAAGATAAAGAGCTCAGCACAGTGCTTGGCCCACTCTAAGTGCTCAGTAAACATTACAGTAAGTGTTGGTATAGGAATTAGTATTCCTAAACAATGAGAGAAATAAGACATCTATGCATCTATGTACACCACATGGTTCAAGGAGTGTAAAATCAAGCAGAGCACATTGACAATCTAAGAGAAATAATGCAGACATAAATATAACAAAATTTAACAGGGTCCAGATGAGTGATGTGAACATTCAGCTGAATCATAACAATTATCTCTCAGTCTTATCCCACCTTGGGAAGTATTTTTGTCCCTGATTTACAGACAAGGAACCTGAGACTCAGTATTTTATAAAAAGGTAGAGAGTAGTGGGGCCAGCAACCAAAGCTGTATCAGTTGATGCACAGTCTATGAAATACTACAGTGACCTGACGGGCAGGGGGCCAGACTGGTCTTTAGTGGGAGAAAGAAGAACAGCAGTTATTGTCTTCTTCTTCTTCTTCTTTTTTTTTTTTTTTTTTGGTTACTGGGGATTGAGCTCAGGGGCACTCCACCACTGGGCCCCATCCCCAGTTTTATTTTGTATTTTATTTAAATGCAGGGCCTCACTTTTGCTGAGGCTGGCTTTGAACTTGCAATCTTCCTGTCTCAGCCTCCTGAGTTTCTGGGATTAAAGGCATGTACCATCGCACCTGGCAGTTATTGTCTATAGAAGAAGGATCTGGGGAATATTTCAGGGCCAGGAGGTGACAATGGAGTTGTACTATAGGAAGATCAGCCAGGGAGGACCAGTTAGATGTGTGAAATCCTCCTTGCTGCTCCCAGAGAAATCTGAATGCTTGCACACTGCTGTGCCTGAGTCATGACTCCGGCCAAGTACTGGGGATTTCAGAAGCTGGATGCTGTTGGAAAGAGCACTGAGCTAGGAGGCAGAAACTTGGAATTTACTTTTGTTTTGTGATAATTGTTTCCTTTCTAAGGAAAGAGGAAGGTAGACTAGCCAATCGCTCTGGATACCTTTAGTTCTAACAGTCTGTATGTTGATACGACTACTTACTTTGACATTACAAGATGTTGCTGAAGTGTGATTACTGTATATTTTTGAGTATAAGGAGATTTTTTTTGCCAATTTATATATAACTGTTATAGTTTGGACATGAGGTGTTTCCCATAGATTCCTTTGTTCATGCAGGAATATTCAGAGATGAAATGATTAGATTATGAGAACTGTCACCTAATTAGTCCATCCTAGTTTGAATGGACTGAGTGGTCACTATAGGCAGGTGGGCATGGCTGGAGGAGGTAGTCACTGGAGGTATGCTTGGAAGGGTTGTCCTGCCTCACAGGCCCTTCCCCCACCCTTTTTCTGGCCATCAGGAGGTAAGCAGAGCTCCTCAGGACTGGCCCTTTCCCCATGATGTTCTGAAATCATAAGCCAAAATTAACTTTTCCTCCTCTAAATTGTTCTTGTAGGGTATTTCAGTCACAGCTAGGAAAAGCTGTCTAATACAATATATAAACGTTTAGGAATAAAGGCCAAATAGGCAAATGTATATTTATAGTTGCATTAATCTAGTTATACATATAAAATTAAGATGACATATTAAATGATTAAATATAGAAGTATTTTTTATTTCTAATGTCTTTTCATGAAAAAGCTTTTTACCTCATATTTGATATCATTAATGTCACTATTTGAATAATTTAACATATTTTTCAGGGCATATCATTTTTATTTCTAAGTGATTTTAGATAAAAACTTGAAAGTCTTTTTTTTTTAATTATGGAAAATGTCAAACACACGAAGTTGAGACTGTCATAACAAACCTCTGTGTACTCATCACCTAGTTTCATTAAGTATTAACATTTCTTGAATCTTGTTTCATCTAGGTAATTCCCCCCCACTGATTCTTCCAGACTTTGGGGACAATCCTATAGTATAAATTTATTTAAAGAAAATAATAACCACTGGGCACAGTGACACACACCTGTAATCCCAGCAGCTTGGGAGTCTGAGGCAGGATGATCACAAGTTCAAAGCCAGCCTCAGCAAAAGTGAGGTGCTAAGTAACTGAGTGAGCCCCTGTCTCTAAAAAAAATACAAAATAGGGCTCAGTGGTTGAGTGCCTCTGAGTTCAAAAAAAGATAATAAAAGACACTATGTCATTTCACCCACAAATGCCTCAGTGTGCATCTCTGACTGCTAAATATTTAAGAAAAATAATTACTATGACATTATTACACTGAAAAAGAATTTACAAATTTTCTCTAAAACCAGGTAATACTTACTAAATACTTAAGCTTCCCTAATTTATCTCAAAATGTATTACAGCTGATTTGTTTGACGAGCACTGGAACAAGAGCCACACAGTGTACTTGAGAGTTACAGTGTCTTCAGTCTGTTATTCTTTATCACTCTCCCTTACACTATCTTTTTGAAGTGCCATTTGTCAGAAAAATTGGATAAAATATCCTATATTCTGAATTTGTTTTATTCTTTGTGATGTCTTAAACTCCCCAATTTATTTGCAAACCATGGTTATAGATTAAGAGTCTCGCTGAGATTCAGAGTAAATTATTTTTGGCAAGAATTATTGGTGGTTGGTGCTGTGTGCTTCTTCCGGCCTCACCCTTGGAGCCAGGTATGTGAAGTCTGGCTCTCCCTCTCTTGATGAATTTAAGACGATGAGTGGGTTCAGGTGAGGTCAGCTTGATCCCACCATCTACCTTTCCCTGATAGTTGTAGCAGTGGATATTGCCTAGATACTGCTATTTTCTTAGGAGTAATTCGGGGCACTCTTGAACCTGTGCTTGATGTTCTTGCTGGAAATCGTGCCATAAGTCATCAGAACCCATTCATGCAATGCCACGGCCAGAGCTTAAAGAAATTGCCCTGGAGGTGCCCTGGAGTAAAGTTTTACCATGTACAATCATCTGTTCTTGATCGTCGTGTTTTGTGTTCACATTTTGCTTTTTAAAATAATGTTTAAAGCTTGTTTAGAGCAGCACCCAACACCACTGTAATACAAGATCTCCAAGAATAATTGCAAAATCTATTTTAAAATTTTCACCTCTTCCCCTCCACTTTAATTTTATTTTACTTTTTAATTGTGTTTTACTTTCCCCCTGCTGGTTTTGACAGGGAGAACTCTGTAATGATCCCATTCTTGCATTTATTGAGGTTCTTTCAGGCTAATATATTTTTCTTGACCAGTTTTTACTGGAAAAATAAAAAATTGAGAAAGTGCCTCATAGATGGGTTCTTATTATAACTTACATTTAAGGTAACCTCCATTTTTCTGAAGAATAAATTGTTTGGAGGGGAATCTTGCCTTATTTTCAGTCATTTATAGTAAGTTAGTGGGAATGTTCTTGTTTTAACTTGGGTTTCATGGAACACATACCAAGAGCAAACTTTGAAATAGGAAACAAAGAAACCTCTGTTTTCCTTTCCTTGATCGAGTCTTATATTTTATTTTATGCCTTGTGTAACATCTGTAAGACCTCACGGAAGAAATTTCTATAAGATTTCAATATCTAATGCAGTGCACGGCTCTGGCCTCCGGCAGGGTGCAGCCACCCACGCAGCCCTCCTGGCCCTCCACTGCCCCCTCACCTGTCTGAACCTGCTCTCGCAGAGCCGCCCCAGGCGCCAGGGGTTGGGGACCTCCACCACCGCTAGATGCTGGTGGAGATTGTGATGCATCTGCACCTCACCCCCACACCTGCACCTGCACAGCCACATCTCCACCTGCAACAGGGATCCAATGTTCAGCTCACAAGCAGCACCTGTGTGTCTCCTAGATGATGTCCTCAAATTGGTGGCCAACACACCTGAGGTCCAAGGCCTGTCGTGTGGCACTTCAGAAAAAGGTGAAGGACTGTGGAGGTGTCCATAAAGACCAAGCCCCCGCGGTAGACAAATCGTATAGTCTGCGAGTCTTCTGGGCTCACATTTGCAAAAGGTCGGATAACCCACGAGAGACGAAAACCAAGAAATAAATGGTGATGAAGCC